AGGATTCCAAGAGTCCCCTCTGGCAGGAGGAGCCATATAACTCAAGTGCTTTTTACTCATATGCTAGACAAGTAAGTCACGGTTCACAATATATATAAAACACAAGGGTAAAATTGCCAAACCCCCTTCATTCAGACAATAAACCAATATGCTTAAAGCTGGATGCTCACCAGAATCACCTGTGAGTTTTAAAACTGATACCTGGGGGACCAGCAGGTAGCATGGTGGTTAAGGTGCTGGACCCTCCCACATGGCCACCCACAGTTCGAGTCCCAGACCTGGTGGCTTGCTTGCTCGCTCTCTCTCTCTCTCTCTCTCTCTCTCTCTCTCTTTCTCTCTCTCTCCCTGTCTCTCTCTGGTCAAATTAAACTATGTGAATGAATAAATTAAAAATTTTAAAAAAAACTAATGCCTGGGGGGTTGGCAGATAGTATGGTTTTTAAGGGCACTGGATTCCCATGTGGCTGATTGTGGTTCGAGTCCCAGACCTGGCAGCTTTCTCTTTCTCTTTCTCTCTCTCTCGATTGTGGTTCGAGTCCCAGACCTGGCGGCTTTCTCTCTCTCTCTCTCTCTCTCTCTCTCTCTCTCTCTCTCTTTTCCTATCTCTCTCTTTTTCTTCATCTCTCTGGTGAAATTATAAAAAAGAAAGAAAGAAAAAGAGAGAGAGAGAGAAAGAGAGAAAGTTAAATAAAATAATTCTTAAAAATATAAAACACTGATGCCTGAACCTCCCACCTCCAAAAAATACTTACCTAATCAAGAATGGAGCCCAGGAGACCAGCAGATAGCATAGCGATTAAGGCACTGGACTTCCATGTGGCCAGTCATGGTTCAAGCCCTGGACCTGAAGGCTTGAAAATCATCCCAGGTGTATGTGCATGAGTGTCCTGAATTGCAAGAGGAGAATGGAGGAGAAGGGACTGTGGCCTAGCCATCTTCTCTGGGGTAGGGGGTGATTTCTCGCTTTCTGTCTCTATGTCTCTCTCTGTCTGTCTGGCGAGCGCACGCACCCTACAATGAAAATCTCTCAAAAAAAAAAAAAAAATCATCCCAGGTGTATGTGCATGAGTGTCCTGAATTGCAAGAGGAGAATGGAGGAGAAGGGACTGTGGCCTAGCCATCTTCTCTGGGGTAGGGAGAGATTTCTCGCTTTCTGTCTCTGTCTCACTCTGTCTCTCCAGCGAGCACAAGTGCCCTATAGCAAAAAGCTCTAAGAAAAAGATAAATTAAATAAATAAAAAGAGCGAAGCCCAGATACTGATATTTCTCAAAAGCCCCCTGGCAATTCTAAGGTAAAGCCCAAACTGGGATAACTTCTCAAAAAGAAATAATTTTATGAGTTAATAGTGATTGATTTCCAAGTTCTCACTTGAGGTAGGAACTTACTAGAGAAGATCCGAAGGTGTAAATTTTGGGCTCCTCTAACTCATGAGTTCTGTTACAGTTCATGTATGTCTCCACAAAATTCATGTATTGTACTATTGCAATGGGGTTAAGACAGTGAAAACTTGATCCAATGATGGTATCTCCAATGATGGAGAAGAGAATGATTGGGTGGTTAGGGTGAGGACCCCAGGATTAAGTCTCAGTAGATGTATAAGGAGAGAAGATGAGGCAAGCAGAAGCCCACATGGATGCAGACCACACTCAAAGTTCTGCCTTCTTCCATTTTTTGATGCCTTTGGACTTTCTAACCACCAGAAGAATGAATCAAACAAACCTCATATTTATAGATTTCATAGGCTCAAGCATTTCTGTCAGCAATGTAATAACAGATTCAGACAACCTCTAGGCTCAAGCATTTCTGTCAGCAATGTAATAATAGATGCAAACAACCTCTTTTTTTTTCTTAATAGAGATGAGAGATATGCAAAACTTTAGTTCAGCTCTAAATTCCATTTTATCTGGAAGGGTCCTCCCCTGTCACACCATGGAGCACAGAGATCGGCACAATGTGGGCATCCGAGAGAGCTTTGTGGACTGGATGAATTCTTCATAGAGAGGCATGTTCTCCCAGGGTCCAGCTATGGCACGATTATGACACGGGCAGGAACCAGAGAGCACTAACCTGCACATTAACAACCAGTATCTGCACCCTCCCCACTTCCCAACTAAATATATAACTATTCACCTTTCAGTATTTCAGAAATTGCCCTGACCTACCATATGTGAAATTTGTTGACCAGAACAGACAAGTCTCGGCTTGATTAACAGAGGGGTGCTGGAAACTGGTTTGGCTATTATACCAGAAAATAACAAATCTGATAACCTTTCAGCTTTCAAAAGGTGTCTGAAAACAAAAGTTCTGTTTGTTCTGGCTTCCCCTATAAACCCCACTGGAAGCAATGGCCGCCCTCCTGCAGAGCGTCTCAGCAGGGGAAGACAGCATGCCTGCCAGGGGTGTGCTCTCTCCTCTCCACGCCTCTACCATGGAGAATCAAGAATTGCAGAATTGCTTTGCAGAGAAACTAGCAATCTACAAGTCCGTGAACAACAGTATCTCCTGGCATACAGATATACAGTATAAGTCATGAACGAGACAAGCGAGAGGTCTCCAAAAAGCTCATTGCCAATTGTAAAAAAAATGTACTCATGGATTTCATTTTCATTGCCCCAAAATAAACTCCTTCTTTCATTCAATTTTTGTATGAACTTTTTACAGTCCCCTGGTATCCTTGTAGCAGTTTTCTCCATTTTAAAACCAGATTGGCTCTGTTGAAAATCATGTATGTGATAATCCCCTTGATTTGATCATAACATACTGCTACACTTGCATACTTTGAAAAACTATACTGAGTGCTCTAGAGATGGACAATAATCAAATTTCAATAAATCATTTTTTAAATTTTATAGAGAATGTATATTATGAAAAATCCATGCATATATTTCAGAAATGTTTGCACCAAAATACACTAACTCTGACTGTTAAAGTTGAATTTAGCACAAGAGAACTGTCATATCTTTCAAGGTGTCTTTTTTTTTCTTGAATAAAGTCAACCAACAAAATTATGTACTTCAGTTTCATTTTAGAGAAGAAAAACAATCAACAAATATGGAACCCAAGTCCATGGTATACTTGTAACTTGGTACTAAGCATTTTTAATCTTACAGAACAGTAGGAAGAAGGCAGGCATCAGGTCTGAACCATATCTTTGGGGTCAGAAAACAATTCTCCCAGTTATGGTGCTTTAGCACACTGTGTACTTGGAATGAGACTTGGAAGTCTTCAGAAGCAAAGTCTCTCTCTAGCCTTCTCCTGCCCTCCTGTCTTCTACTTCTTTTCTACCCTAAAGGAAGTCAAAGAAACCAGAATTCCTCTACCCAAGATAGGTCATAGACACTAGAACCCCCTTCCCCAAAGTAGGTCATAAAATCTAGCAAGGCTCCTCCCTTCTTCCTTGAGGAATCTGCCCCATACCTGGGAAAAAGGAAGGTTTCACAGAGAGGCCATAAAGAATCTGCACAGACAGGCCATGCTGGGTCTCCTCAGTGTATCACTCTTTGCTCAGACCCTCTCATCCAATCAAACCTAAGTGTACAAATAGACAAGTTTTCTCAGGGTCTTTGAGTCTTCATTTCTGAAGACTCCCATACCATACAAAATTATTGTTTTTCATTGCCAGAGGGCATGTGGCATGTACCCATCAGAGAGAGAGGAAAAGTATTCCCCAATAGGACCTGGTCACACTGCAATCCTGTTTCCTCTGTTACTTCATCCAGTAAGGATTTGGGACATGCACACACATGTGCCCTTTGTGTCCTTCAACACTGGGGCCAAAATTCGAACCATGGTCAGCCATGTGGAATCCAGCTTCTAATGCACAGCACTAAACCACTGCACTCCAGGGCCAGCCACATAAAACTTTGATTAGGAAAGTTCGTTATGTTTTTCTCTTGTTATCCTGTCTTCCGTTATGAGGTATTGGCCATGACCCTTATGATGGGTAAGGGAAAGTACAAAATACAAAATTGTAGCAAGGCTTTTTTGATTTTATTAAAAAGTATTTGTGTTTATTATAAAAGAAAAAGGATATATGGTTTGACTTCTCTAAAGCCTTAGAGCTCATGCTACATTTGGTTGTTACTGGCATAGATATTTGTGAGTAAAGCCAGTTACTTTACTCTGGCAGTCTAATTATAATATAACATCAGTACAGTAAAGTTCAGGCAAGGGTTAAATAAAGACAGACTTATGGTTTTTTTGTCAAGTAGCTTTGGAATCTTTCCCACTGGTTATTACCACAAAGTTCTAATTGAATAAGTTCGCCTATCAGTGCACTAAATAGAAAATGTGTGATTATTTACATAATATACTATACCATTAAGATAATTTTGTTAATATCATACCTCAGTGGAGTGAGCAGAGGATAGTATCCTAAATATACAAACGATACCACAAAAAAAAAAAAAAAAAAAAAAAACCTCCAGAGGTGACTGGTGCCAAAGAGGAATCTAATCGATAGAGTATAACTAAGATTTTATCATCAATTGTGATTTTTAAGCTTGAGAGTAAAGTACGGGAAAACATTTCAGACACAGGAAGAGTTTAGTGCATTCAAATATTTTCACAGTCATACATACTAAGGCGTATTATGTACCAAGCTCTATGTTAACAGGAGGCTATGTAAAAATAGCAATCATAGGCTGGCCAGCCCTGCAGCACAGTGGTTAAGGGAGCTGGGTCACACATGGCGAAGCATAGTTTATGTCCTGGCCCTAGTGGCTTGAAAACATGTACCAGGTGCATGTGTGTGCATGCCCCAAATCCCAACAGGATGGAGACGGAAGTGAAGGAACTGCAGCATGACCATGCCCCATCAAGGAGTGTCTTCTCCCTCTGCCACTCCCTGGTGAGGGCACGCTCCCTCCGGAAATAAAAATAAAGAAGATCATCACAAAGACACAAGCATGTGAGGTGATAGGTACATTAGCCTGATTTACTCATTTGGCATTGTATACATGGAAATGTCACACTGTACTGCATGAACATGTACAATTACCTGTCGACTAAAAATAAAAATGACATTTAAAAAATAGAGAGGATATCATCCATGTCTTCCGGGAACTCACAATCTGAGATAAAGTAGATTGCTTATTTCAGCGATCTGACTCGGACTCTATCAGATACGGAAGTATCTGTATGGAGATTGTTACCTTCTGAAAGTGTGCGGGAGGCTTTCCTAAGTGGGTGATACTTGTACTTGTTCTTAAAGAAAAAGTCAGGACAGTGGGTGGCGTGGAGTTATGGCACTGGATTCCTACAGGGTCCACTGCAGTATGAGTACCAGACTGGCAGCTTGAAAAGTGTGCCGGGTGCATGCGTGTGCATGCCCAAAATCCCAAGAGGAGAACGTAGGAGAAGGGGTTACAGTGAGGCCATTCCCTCTAAGGGATGGTTTCTCATTTTCTTTCTCACTGTCTCTACTGAGTGCAAACACCCTCTGGCAAAAATCTGAAAAAAGAAAATGAGTGGGTATTGCTGACCAGCAAGTCCAGCAGCTTGGCTGGAAGACATCCAGGCTGGGAAGGATGCATCAGAATCTCAGGGCCAGGCAAGGGAGGCAAGGCAGGTGCTGGAGTGCTGGAAAATGCAGAGACAGCACTCCTGCTCTTTGTCGTAAAACAACAGGCTAGATGGAATCTTCAGGGCTGTTGGAGATATATAAAAAGATGCGTCAATCCAGCCCAGTAGGAAGCAGAGAGAACAGAGTACTGGAGAGATCTCCATTCTCTTTGACATTAATTGGCAGCGGAGGAGATTCCAAATCACTCTCTATTAATCCGCATAACAAAAAGCTGCTGAGCCAAACCCTCTGGCTAGAGAAGCTCAGCCTTCAGTGTGACTTGCAGAGGCAAGTTCTTGCATCTCATCGTCAGGGACCTTATTTCTCAGCATATAGAAAGACTGGAGGGGGAATTCAAAGAGTGTAGAAAACTTGGAGCCTAGAATCCGCCTTCACAGTCTCTAAACACCAAGAAAAATTTACAGGTTCTAAAGAGTCCAAAGTGCCCAAAACACCCTGAATGTATTTTTTGCTCCAGGCAAGCATCTTTGCAAAAGATGCAGCATGAATTTCTATGCACAGTTATAGCTTAGGCAGCAATGTGCAGAAAAGCCTACGGATGCAAATTTTCCTTTTTAATTCAAAATATCAATGTGTAGCCTTATATACTAGGCAAAAATGAGGAAACACATGTCTCTCACAAACTAATCCGTGTGTAACTTTTGTAGATGTTTCTCCTTCTAGATAATCCAAAACACACATGCAAACTGACACACAACAGATCCTTACCGTTAAAACACGGGTAACACTCTGCTTCCAGAGCTGTCTCCTACCAATCCTAAACATTGCAGCAACCTGGACAGTTTATGGATGGCCAAAGGCAGCTCCTCCAGGATGGTCGTTAATTTCCTGGGGAGTCCTACTCATCATCTGACTGGCTTTCAAAGGCAAAATCCTCTAGAGGCCCAGAATTCACCTTTATGTTTCTAACTGGCAGGCATTGTTCACGAGGTCCACAGCATACCGGTAAAACTCCCCTAGCCTACTCCAGTTTTCCTTCTAGCGTCTCTGCCCTGGGGCCTCTCTGCCCTGTGTTGTTAGGGTATTACTGTTTCTATACTATACAGTTTAACTATGCCTCTTAATCACGCTGATCAACCAATCAGCATTTAAGCCTCTGGTTGCAACACAACTGCTTCTGCTGGTCATTGAATTCTATACACTGCCCGGCAATAAGCTTTCAATAGAGATATTTTAAATATTTTTTTGAACAATTAGAAACTTTAAACCATCTCAGAATAGAAGACAGAGAAGCCACAGCTCTGAACATACCGTTCAAGTCGAGAAATGCAGTCTCACTTTATCTAAACAACTTTGTGTGCTCGGTTAACTGCCAGCATTGTGACTAATTGTAACTAATTGCCAGATAGGCTAATTGTGACCCAAAGGAGCCATTTTCTCCCCCATAAAGAACAAGAAGCCTATTTCATATGCAAATAGCAAATGATGTCCATAAATTACTTGTGCTCACACAGTTGCACATGCAAATAAACCAAGGTAATTAATTCTATGTGGCTAAACATCTTGATCATCCTTACTGCAGAGACAACGGGAAAACAGTGCCAAGTGCCTGCAGGATCTCTTACTGTGGTTTTCTTGTCCAGAGGTGTCCAAGGCAGGACACGGAAGGGGAGACCTGTTGATTCCAGGACTTGGTCCTTGCAATTCAAGGTCTAGCAACTCAAATTGTGACAGGTCATCAAGGGATAATGAGAATATTGGGGACTCATGCTGCTGATATCTGCTAGCCAGCTCACCAGAAACCACCTTGAAAACCAGGCACTAATTTGGGCTCTGAACACATGAGTTTGGTCAGCAGGTAACGCTAGGGTGTGGCCTCCACAAGTAGGATTCATAAAAAGCAACATGTAAACTGAATGTTATTTAGTAACTATCTAGGGCACAGGAACCTAGAGTCTACTGAGTAGTTTCTAAATCACCCTCTGAGGTGCTGGCAGGTGGCATGGTAGTTAAGGGAACTGGACTCCCACATGGCCAACAGCAGTTCAAGTCTTGGACCTGGTAGCTTGCTTTCTCAATTTCTCCCCCTTACTCGCTCACTTTGTCCTCCTGGTCAAATTAAAATAAATAAAGTTAAAGTTTTTTCCTTTAAAAAGTAAATAATAATAAATTACCCTCTGAGCTTTGGTTAGCAGCTGCTCTCTGTCCTCTTTAGGAATGGTGAAGCTGGTGTCTAGACCAGAGTCCCCTCCTTTGTGTGGTGCTGAAAGGCCCCAGAAAATGACAGGAGGTTCTCATTTGCTTGCTCAGCATCTCCTATCAGTCCCCAAAAATGCTCTGTAAACCCATGACGGCAGGACAAACACATTACAATTCATTACCTCTCCAATTACGTCTCACTAGTTCCATTGAAATCAGTGCTTCCCTCGTGATACTGTAGGCATCATCCCTACTCATTCGCATGTCTTGAGAAGAGTTACTTTCTGGGCAGATTTTCACAGATGGCTGATGGCATTTGTTTAGTATTTGGCAGAAATAACCATGACTCTCTGGAGGCTTCACAGCAAACCCTGAAGCCCTCCAGCCTGTGCAGCTGAATTTCCACTCCCTTTGGGCAAGGTGGAGATGGGATACATTTTAGTGGATGTTCTCAAGAGTTCCGGGCCCCTGAAGGAGGCTCACAAACAATTATCTTTAAGCAGCACAAAGCAAAGCACAAGCCTGGATCTGTGACTACATGCCCTTCAGTCTCTGCTGACAGAAGGTGTCTTTGGAGAAAAGTTATCAACATTGCCTGACAGGAAACGTTTTCCAGCAACTAGCTTCCACCAGGCTATGGCTGCATCTGGCAGAACTACAGGAGTACAAAGGCTGGGGATCCTCCAACTCTGTCCGTGCTGACCACACACTACCAGGAAAGGGTGAAGACATTGGCCATACACGAATCCTAGGTCAGGCTTAGCTGGAAAACAAGAGTGGGCAAGGGACATCAAACAGGCAGGAGACTTCATCCAAAAAGCCAAGCACCTTCAAACAAAGTTTGAAGTTCCTCTTTCATTCACTCAACAAATGTTTATGAGTGCCTTAGTTCCTCTTTCATTCACTCAACAAATGTTTACGAGTGCCTTGGGCTAGCCCCACAGCCTAGTGGTTAAGAGAGCTGGATCCTGCATGGCCAATTACAATTTGAATTCCAGCCCTAGCTGCTTCAAAACACACTAAGCACATGTGCATGATTGCCCCAAATCCCAACAGGATGGTGAAATTGAGGAGAAGGAATTGTGCCACAACCACACCCCACGATGGTGGGCCTTTCTCTTTCTCCCAATATCTCTCTCTGGCAATCACATGAGTCCTCTGATAATTTATAAATATATATATATGTAAACAGACATTTACTCAAGTATTTTAAAGCATTAATTGGGGACCAGCAGTTAGCGTAATGGCTATGTCACTGGACTCCCACGTAGTCAACTGCGGTTTGCGTCCTGGACCCGGTGGCTTAAAACTCATGCCGGGCACGTGAGCGTGTGGGCCCTGGGGAGCACACACACCCTATAGCAAAATCTCTCCAAAAAAAGAAGAAAAAAAGAAAACGTAAATGCTACCAATTAAACTTAAATACAGGGACCAGCAGGTGACATGGTTATTAAGGTGCTGGACTCCCACATGGCTGACTGCAGTCCTAGTCTCAGATCCAGTGGCTTGCAACTCACACTAGGTGCATGTGAGTTTGTGCCCAAAATCCCAGGAGGGGTCTAGAGGGGTAGGGAGGGGGTGATTTCTCACTTTCCTTCTCTCTGTCTCTCTCTGGTAAACACACACACATCCTATGGCCAAAACCTAAAAATTAAAAAACACTTAGATATAACATCAATTCTGATTTCACAGATGTTAAAATATGAAGAAGGTACATCTCAGGGCCAGATGACAGCTCAGTGGTAATACAGTGTTCTGCAGGGCTACATCCACTTGAGCAAGTTCTCAGTTGGTGTTCTGAGGCCTCCCTACAGGTAGTAGGGATATGATGCATGTGCCCACGACCCAGGCCAGCAGAGATAGCAATATAAAGGCCCTGTTGGGCACACGTGTCTCTCCCTTTCCCTCTCTCTCTCTCTCTCTCTCTCTCTCTCTCTCTCAGAAGAAATAAATAAATAAAATGTAGGGGGAAGACAACAAAAAGAAAAATACATGTACGTCTCAGAATCAATGCAATTGGTAATCCCTGTCTTCATTCGGGGCAGATATTAAACAAATAATACAACTAAATACATAATCTTAAGTAAAATATAATTACAAAGTGTGGAAAGTGTTGTTAAAATAAAAAGGTATAAGCTTGGGAACCAGCAGTTAGCATAATGGCTATGTCGCTGGACTCCCACGTAGTCGACCGCGGTTTGCGTCTCGGACCCAGTGGCTTAAAACTCACGCCGGGCACGTGTGCATGCGTGCCCAGGATCCCAAGAGGAGAATGGAGGAGAAGGGATTGCGGTGTGACCATCCCCCCTGGGGGGTGATTTCTCGCTTTCTGTCTCTCTGTCTCTCTCTGTCTGTCTAAAGCGCACACGCCCTATAGCGAAAACCTCTCAAAAAAAAAAAAAGGTATAAGCTTTATTAGGACCTGTGTTCTGAATTGTCATTTGTTGCTTACATTCCAAAGAGTAAACTTGCCTGAACTCACCTCTAAATTATGGAGTCCCCTATTCTGGGTGTCAGAGCTGTACACATACAACCTACGCCATGTGGCATGACAGAAAAGTGCAACTTTGGGGTTAGACAGACCTTAATTTAAATCCCAACTCATCTTCCAGCTCTGTGATGTTGGCACTTCAATTTCCTAAGTTACAGATCAGAAATAAAATTATTTACCTAACAGTCCGATAATGATTTAAACATATTTAAAACTCCTGGATTCTCATAGGCATCTAATGAATGAAAGATAAAATCCACAGGTGAAAGACTTACGACTACATTCAGTGTCCATATCAGCATAGGCAGCAGATTTCCAAGGCATGATCTTAACCTAACCTACAAATTCTAGTCTACAGCTGTTTGAAAATTTTGTTTTTAATTTCTAATTATGCTCCCACTCCCAAAAAAGGGGATCAAGTTTCACCAGTTAGCATCTACACATCTACACATTTTTCATCTCTAAGAATGTCTTATCAAGGCGCAGCAGAATCCACCACATCCATGAGTTTAATATCCTTGTAGACAATGATATAAAGGACAGCATATAAAAATGCCAAATGAGCTCAGAAGATGAGAAAGTGCCACATTTTGTCTATTCTGAGTTGTGCTTATTTTGCAGTTTTTATCATACTGAAATGGAGTAAATCTTATATTCAAAGCCTTTTGTAATTGTTGCTAGTCAGGCAATCACAATACAGGGGATACTGCCAGGGTTTACAGGCCCCAAGGCCACCCCAAGCAGCATCACAGAGTTGCTGCAGCACCTTATCATCAACAAACCACTGGAGGCCCACTTGAGGAAGGATGGTGTGTCCTGGTAGCCTTCTAAAAGCCTTCACCGACACCTTCTGAGAAAAATCAAGAAAACACCAACAATGCAACTTGCACAATAGGTGTTAGTGGATAAGAACAACATTCCTAAAGAGTCCAACTCAACATGTGAAGAAGTTTTAGAAACTCCTTAATTTATGGCACTTATCTTTGTATGGATGCACAGGGGTGCATTTTTTTATCTACATTTCTAAATCTACATTTACGCTTCGAAGAGCTTTCTCAATTCAAATAAAACAACAATTCTAAGTGATCAATGCATTCTAGTTTAATCGACAACTGTTTTTCTTTTCTAGTGGTGAATGACAGTGGTGTGTCTCTTCTCTGATGCTGGTTCATGTCAGGTAAAACACAGTTTTTGAGCTCTAAGGATTGAAGACAACTTGAAACAGGCAAAACTTAAGGCAACACTTGAAGACGGGCCATCAAGAGCTAGAAAGAGGCAGAGCATATCCTAATGTGGACAATAGAAGAGCAAGACGTGGAGGTCAGTACTGAAGAGAACCTGTTGTATGCTGCAGTTGTGAGGGAAAATAATCAATCTCCGTAAGGTATGCTGAGGCTCAGTGGTGGATGACAGTGGTCCTCACATGCATTAAGAAGTTACTGAAGAATTCATTGATAAAAATCTTATTTAGAGGATTACACTGGTGGGTGGATGCAAAAAGGAAAGGAGTGGAGAGAGACTGAAGGTATAAAAAAAAATGAAGGATGTTATCAAGGGGTGGAAACAGTGACCTCCTAAAATTCCCAAAAATGAAAAACAACACATAAGGCAAATAAAAGTGGCAAGTCCCCTCGTCCCTGCCCAACATTCTGCTATCCATAAGCTTCTCCTATATATAATCCTGGTTGAAAAAGTAAAGGGAGGGACCAGCAGTTAGCGTAATGGCTATGTCACTGGACTCCCACGTAGTCAACTGCAGTTCGAGTCCCGGACCCGGTGGCTTAAAACTCATGCCGGGCGTGTGTGCGTGCATGCCCAAGATCCCAAGAGGAGAATGGAGGAAAAGGGATTGCAGCGTGGCCATTCCCCCTGGGGGGTGATTTCTCGCTTTCTATCTCTCTGCACCTTATAGCAAAAACCTCTCCAAAAAAGGAGAAAAAAAGTAAAGGGAAAGAACAAATAGAACAAACCTTACCAAATACACATTCGTACACACACACACACACACACACACACACTGATGAAACCTGACAACTGGTAGTAGAGGAAAGAAGACACAATTGTCAAAGATTCCATTTTGACCAGCTTAGGCAAAGTAAAATAATTCAAACAGGAATGGGGAAATATAGAGAAAGTATACATTTTGGAGATAAAATGACCAAAGAAATGCAAGTAAAGTTCTGATTTTTCACTTTTCCTTCTGGTCTTTCCATATTGCAAAGGTGAAGGCTGACACAATTAAACACAAAACCCAACACTTCTGGTCCCTTGTTCTTTATTCTATCATAAAAAATCTCATAACAACCAGCAATATATGAATGATAATTAGAACTACACTCTTCAGAGAAAATAGTCATTTTAAAGCTTCAAATGAAGTGGTATGGTTTGCTGGCTTTGCCACCATTTTCAAACATTGAAATTATTCAGCAAAATTAGAAAAATGTGCACAGGTTTTCTGGAAGCCTCATCTGTCAAAATTTAAAAGAGAGGAAGGGAGAATAAGTCCCAGAGGAAATTAAAGGAAGCTGATGCATTTAGAGCAAAGCAAACCAGAGCACCCTATTGCACAGGTGCAGACCGAAGAAGAGAGACGCTGGGTGCTATGTGCATGTTCCTCATGTTATTTTGTCTAATGTAAGAATCAGGAACGTTTGGCACTGAGAGAGGGCTGTGCTGAAGAAAAGGCTCTCGGGAGCATCTTTTCTCCTCTTCCTGTCTCCCTCGGTGATGCTTCCACAATCTTTGTAGAAGTAACATTGTCCTGCCTTCGCGAAGCTTCGCTTGTGGGTCTAACTGCTGCCTTTACTGGTTGGCTGTATGGCTTTTGATAAACCCCTAGCCACATTGGTTCCACTTTCTACATGCAAAACAAGGGAAGTAGTTAAATGATCCTTTGAGCACCTTCCAGCTTCCCCTCCCTCAAATAAATAAACAAACAAACAAACAAACAACCTACATGAATGATCTTAGATTCCAAGCAAACTACTGCTGCAAGTAATTGCAATGATGTCTTCATGTGAACTCTACACATGCTATCTTATAACATGGCATAGAAAACACTGGGAAAATTATATTATTACTTGAATTATCTGAAATGAGGTTTAACACTGCAGCTCAGTCACATCTATGATAATATTGTTTTACCCAAAGGATTTTTGCTTTCCATTTCAGATGTCCATATCTTGAAAAATTGATGCCCTAGACTATGATACTGGTTCTTTGTGGAGGGGATGTCAAATAATTTTCAGAAAAATGGAATAAAAATGAGCTTATTTTGGTGCAAAAAATGTTCCAAATCCATCATTTTGTTACAATATGCATTTGTTCATGAACTTTTTGAAGACCTCCCCATTTATAAAAATGTAGTGCTTCATAAAATTCCTCCTCCAAACCTAGTCACAGAAAGCTCAAAGGCTCTGAATAATATGGAAATGAAATTTGAGGTGAAGACCATGAAGTTAATCATGGTATGCCTTTCTGGCATCCTGTTGCTAGCTCTGCTGCTTAGCACGGTTATAATTTTTCATGCTGCATCTTTCCATATGGTATTGCCTAGCTTGGTTATTCCAGTTGTTTTTTGCTTGGAACCAAAATTTTCAATATTGTAACATACAGAACTCAGAAAAATTACACATCTTTAATGGGAACCTTGTTGCAATTACAATCTCAAGGACAATCAACAACGTAGGAATGACCCCGTGACTTAATTATTTGTACTTTCAGAAATTCAAGATTCAAGCAAATACATGACAGAATTAATTAGAGATAGGAAAGGAACCCTCCCTAACATGAGGATTCTTTTCTTACAAACCCTTAGGGCCCAATGACCTTTACTCTTATGCCACCTTAGTGAATATTGCTCCATTTCACACATGGGCATTCTAAGACACCAAAGTGACAACCATGGAAATAAAGATCAAGGGTTTGAGTTTCACAAAGAGGTCATTTGGGGGACTAACTTTGCTACTAACACAGTTGTATCTGTTTTTATTAAGCAGAGGAAGAAAAAAAGTAGAGAGGCTCACCAACAAATATAAAAAGTTTCATTTAATTCTACACTTAGATTCTCTTTGCTTTTCTCTAGTGCCAAGATATCATGAAATGGTAACCTGAAAGCCATGTTCTCCTCCCACAAAGATATAATGACAAAAGTGAATCAAATGTCATTCAGCGTAGAACAAAATCCTAACATTAGGAATCAACTGATTCACTCAAGAGATGTCTTCTAAAAGAACAACCCCAGCCTCTAATGTCACCCATAAGAAACACATTAATTATTCACCGTCACAGAAGGACTTCCCAACTTGTGACAGTGGGGCTTTGCGCAACCCTCCCCCCTTGTTATTTTCATTATAAATAAAAGCCTATGAAGATAAGCAAGACGTATTTTTAAACAATGGTTAGCACTCACATTCATGCAAAGGGTTCTGGCACTAGAATGGGATGTGTTGATTTGAGAGGCAGAAAAACTTCTGATTACAAGAACATGATCAGATACAGAGATACAGCAAATCCATTTTATCTGAAACCAAGCAAAGAAGATTTTGTCTCTCTCTGAAAAGCTTAAAAATAGGCTCAGGCAGACATCAAAGGAAGACATTTCCAGTCACAGAAAGAATGATTTGCTCACCTCAGAAACAGAGCAGCCAGTGGCGGATCAGGGTACAAAGGGAGGTTCAGAGGCTATGCATTTGGTGACATCTCCCCCCAACCTGTACCATTACCACTGCAAACTCCTAGGGCAGGATAGATCTGTTTTTGTCACAGGTACATTTCTGGATCTTTGAACTGTTTATTCAATAAATGCAGAACAGTGCTATTTATAACCTCATCCAGGGCTAACTAGGTCTTTAAAACGCAAACTGTTAGATTGCCAGAAAAGTCATGACTCATTTCTGAATAGAATAACATAGAAAAATATGTCATGATTTTCCTGACCCCTAATATTTACAGTTATAACTTATACTAGCATTACTCCACCACCAACAAAACTTACATTGCTGAGGAAGACAAAAATGACTCAAATATCTAGGACCAGCAGTTAGTGTAATGGCTATGTCGCTGAACTCCCACGTAGTCGACCACGGTTCACATCCCAGACCCGGTGGCTTAAAACTCACACCAGATGTGTGTGTGTGCGTGCCCAAGATCCCGAGAGGAGAATGGAGAAGGGATTGTGGCGTGGCCATCCCCCCTGGGGGGTGATTTCCCGCTTTCTGTCTCTCTGTCTCTCTCTGTCTCTCTGGCGAGCACACGCGCCCTATGGCAAAAAAAGAAAAACCTCTCCAAAAAAAAAAATGACTCAATTATCCATTGGGGCTTTTTTTGGGTTTTGTTTTTGTTTTTGCTTTTGTTTTTGCTTTTCTTTTCAAGATAAGGTCTTACCATGCTGTGATTCTCCTGCCTCAGCCTCCCAAGTAGCCAGAATTATTGGCACACACCACCACACTGAACCTTCAGGTTAGATCAGAAACCAAATCTATACCTCTAGTGGTCCCAGCTGTGGGGCACCGTGTCTTAGTGGCAGGTGTCATAACTTGAAAAGAATGTCATTACTATTTACAGATACCACGAGACAAATCTCAGTCACTGCTGTTTCCTTCAAGAGAAAAAGCATTAAATATTATTTCAGAGACTAAACATAAACCCATTTATCCGTATGCAAAAAATAAACTCAATAATTGAGAACAAAATTATAGAATGTTCTTTTAGAGCTCCTTCGAGGATACTTTCATGGCTGCTTCTTACTACAACCAGCATCCCAACTTCCCTACAGCAAAGGGGAAAGGACACGCAACTGAAGTGAATACATACATACATTCCTACGTTCCTATCGTAAGTGCAGTTAGC